GCACACCGCGGCCTTGAACGCTGTACTTGATACTCCGGAGCAGACAGCAGCCGTTACTGGGGTTGAGGGTTCGAAGTCTGGGGAACTGGTAGAGAAGCAGGAGGGGGAGGCAGCCGCTGCTGGGGCAGCCGGAACAGAAGCGCTGTCTGCCGCTGCTGCTGCTGCTTCTGCGACTGGGCCGGAGAAGCAGGAGGAGGTAAAAGCCACAGAGGAAGCAGGCAAGGCGGAGCAGACAGCAGCCGGTACTGGGTCAGGAAATGCAGGGTCGAAGTCCGAGGGAGGGGCAGATAAGCAGGAGGGGGAGGCGGCCGCTACTGGTACGGGAAGGAAGGAGGTGGGAGATGTGGCAAGAAGTCAGCATTCTCTGCCTGTAGGAGAGACAGTCATGCATGGAGGGGGGGAGGCGGCCGCTACTGGGGCAGCCGGAACAGAAGCGCTGTCCGCAGCAGCAGCAGCAGCAGCAGCAGAAGTAGGGAAGCAGGAGGAGGTAAAAGCCCCAGAGGAAGCAGGCAAGGCGGAGCAGACAGCAGCCGTTACTGGGGTTGAGGGTTCGAAGTCTGGGGAACTGGTAGAGAAGCAGGAGGGGGAGGCAGCCGCTGCTGGGGCAGCCGGAACGGAAGCGCTGTCTGCCGCTGCTGCTGCTGCTGCTTCTGCGACTGGGCCGGAGAAGCAGGAGGAGGTAAAAGCCCCAGAGGAAGCAGGCAAGGCGGAGCAGACAGCAGCCGGTACTGGGTCAGGGAACCATGAAGAGGCAGTTGGGGCAGGGAATGCAGGGTCGAAGTCCGAGGGAGGGGCAGATAAGCAGGAGGGGGAGGCGGCCGCTACTGGTACGGGAAGGAAGGAGGAGGACAAAGTCTCAGGAAGCGTGTTGAAAACGAACAAGGATTCTGGTTCAGGAACACAGTCAGCTCCTTCTCCTTCGTCTTCTACTTCTACTTCTACTTCTACTTCTACTGCTCCTGCTGCTCCTGCTGCTGCTCCTGCTGTTGCTGCTGCTGCTGCTGCGACTGAGGCAGAGAAGAAGGAGGTGCAGGCAGCAGGGAATGGGGAAAGCAAGCAGGAAGAAGCCTTGCCAGTACAACAGGATGAGATTGTGGGAAAGGCAGAGAAGCCTGACGGTGTGGCTGGAGTCGAGCAAGAAAAGCAGGAGGAGGCAGCTGTTGTGGGTGAGCAGGTCGGGGGAGAGAAAGATGGAGCAGCCACGGGGATGAAAGCGGCGGGAGAAGGGAAGGAGGAAGAGGCAGCTGCTGCAGGGATTGTGAAGGAGGACATCTCCTCGGGCGCGGTCGATGAGACAGGAGGAGGGAACGAGCAGGTTGGAGGTGATGTGGTAGCAGGAGGGAAGGGAGGGGAGCTTGTCTCAGGGGTTGACAAGGGAGGGGTTGAGGAAAGAGCGGAAGATCTGAGCGAGAGCCTCCGACAGGGCTGGATGTCTTCCATAGACTCGCTGGATGAGTTTCATATCCAGGGATCGTTGCAGATGTTGCTGCTGCAAAAGCTCGGTTCCATCCTCCTCCTCCTGGTTGCCTTCGATCAACATCTGCAGCTGTCTTCCATCAGCGTGCAAGACCTGTCCCACCTCATCTCGCTGCTGGGGCTGCAGAAGGAGGAGGAGGAGGTGGAGCGGCTGTTCGATGATCTCAAGAGGGAGGAGGAAGGGGCAACGGAGGGGGCCGCTGGTCTCCCTCCTCTTGACCTGCGCGACCTCACCGTCCTCCTCTCCAGCCCGATCCTCAAGCTCCAGTTGGCCGCTGCGAAGAGGATCTACGAGCTGATAGGAGGGCTGGCGCATCACGATCTCAGCATGCAGGAGAAGGCCGGGAAGCAAGCGAGGCTTATCCAGTACATTTCTCGCCTTTGCTTCGTGAGTCTCCTGCCCCGTCTCTCTCCTCATTTCAAAGTTCCAGCTGCTTCTCCCTTTCTTGCTCTCACTTGTACTGCTCTCTCTCCCCTTCCCTCCCCGCCTGCTCTGACTGTTTTTCTCTTTTGACATCTTCTCCTGCAGAGCTCGGAGCAGTCAGAAGCATGCTACATCAGCCTCCTCGTCCTCGCTGAGCTGACGCATGCCAACCCGGCCAACTCTACGAGGCTTCTTGCAGTGCCGGGGCTGATGAGGAGAATCGTCCGCCTGCTCGACCCCAACCGCAGGGTCGGAGACCTCACCATCCCCCGGACAGCTGCGAGAATCCTGTCAAACCTCCTCACGCAGTCGGGAGACAAGAAGACTTCCTCCTCTTCTTCCTCTCTCTCTTCCGACGCCTGGTCGGTGGTCCAAAGCATCGACCCTTCGGCTGTCCATCGCGCTCTTGTCATCCTGTCTTCTCCCTCGTCCAGGTCGCAGCCGCCCAAGAGCAGCTTGCAGGGGGGACAGAAGATCGGAAGGGGTGCTGACTCATCCTTCTCGTGGGAGGGAAGCAACTTGCAGCGAGACAGTCTGCCTCTCAAATCAACGGCAGGCTCGAGGGCGCGATGGCTGAGGCAGGAGAAGGTCTCAGCAAGGGCTGAGTTGGTCCGGTCGCCTAGACGCCAGGCACCTTTCCTCGGCAGCGGTCAGCGCATGCGAGCTCATACCTCAAGGAGATGATGGATGAAGAGACGGAAGATGGAAGGCGGGAAAGAAGCGGCAAGGAGGCGAAAGGGGGTAACAAAGGAGAGTAAGGAGAGGGAAGAAAGAATCTGTAGATGAAGTCATATGAGGGGAGAAGGAGGGGGGCGGCGGGAGCAGAGGTAGGAAAACGGACAACGAGGAGGGGGTGCAGCGCTGTGAGAGGGGAGGGCCCGGCCAATCTCCTCGGGAGTTGCAGAAACATTTATCAAGAAGTAAATGGTTGATCGAAGACGCAAAATACTATCAGATATTTAACAGTTCACCAGGACAGCATCCAAGAACAAACTCCTCTCAACATGCAGCGAGCAGCAGGTCTCAGTGCGCGAGCCCCGACAACATTGACGAGGCTGGGATGCCTCCAGCCCTTCCTCCATCCTTCAAAAACAGATCTCCGAGTCTCGAGGGTCCACGAGCCTCTGCAAGGCTCTTAGAAGCACTTGGCGGCAGAGTCGTGCACGTCCACAGCTCTTCCGGACTGCCAGGTACGTTCAGAGAGGTCAAACTGCGTTGCTCCTTCTTCTCACCTGATCCAACATGGAGCCTGCAGCTGCTGCCTGCTTCCACGCCTCGTCCCACTCCACGGCCTTGGCAGTCGAGCAAGCGACTGAGGGTCCACCTGTGAATAGAGGAAGGAGTCAGGGTTGCAGGATGACGAGCAGGAGGAGGAGGGAGACAAGGGAGGTCAGGGTGGAACCTGGCACAGTCTTGATGCAAGTCTCGTCAGGATAGAAGCTCTCGAAGATGCTCCTGGCGAAGTAGGCCTCCTTCGTTCCCGGGGTGTTGTAGGGGAACCTGTGCTCTCTAAACGCGAACATGGTGTCATCCACCACTCGATTGGCATGCGCCTTGAGGCCGTCGATCCAGTCGTAACCAACCCCGTCCGAGAACTGCTCTTTCTGCCTGAAGAGGACCTCCTTGGGGAGGTAGATCTCTCCCTTGGAATCGGGCTTGTTGAACGCCTCCCTCATCACCCACTTTTCGATAAACTGCTCCTTTTCTCCCTTCTTGATCATTTTGAACGACGCGTCCAAGTTCATCACCACGTCCAGAAAGTCCTTGTCCAAGAACGGGACTCGAGCCTCCAGCCCCCACGCCATGGTCGCCTTGTTCGCCCTCAAGCAGTCGTACAGGTACAAACCCTGGAGCTTGCGCACACACTCCTCATGGAATTCCTGTGCGTTGGGAGCCTTGTGGAAGTAAAGATAACCTCCGAGCTCCTCGTCTGCTCCCTCCCCTGACAAGACCATCTTCACACCCATGGCCTTGATCTTGCGAGCAAGGATGAACATGGGGGTACCAGCGCGGATGGTGGTGACATCGTAAGTCTCGAGATGGTAGATCACATCCTGCACAGCATCGATACCCTCTTGCACGGTGAAGTGAAACTCGTGGTGCTCGGTGCCGAGCATGTCAGCCACCTTGCGGGCATTGAAGAGGTCAGGGGAACCCTTCAACCCGATCGAGAAGGTGGCAGGCCGAGGCTTTCCTGCCAGGTCGCACATCTTCACAACGCAAGAGGCAACGAGCGAGGAGTCGAGGCCGCCGGAGAGGAGAACGCCATAGGGAACGTCGGTCATGAGCCTCTTGGAGATCGCTTCGACGAAGGTGGTGCGGATGAGGTCCAAGTTCAACTTCTGTTGGGCAGCCTCGAATCCAAACCACTTGGGGTTGTAGTACCGGACAAGCTGCTTCGTCTTGTGCGACCAGTAGTGTCCGGGGGGGAACTGCTCAATCTTCTTGCACTCGGTGACAAGGCACTTCATCTCTGAGGCGAACCACACGGACCCATCAGCTCCCCAGCCCATGTACATGGAGTCAACTCCCATGGGGTCCCTGGCAGCGTAGAACTCGCCCTTGTCTCCGGCAATGGCGAAGGCAAAGTCTCCATCCAACAGGGAGGCAACCTAGTGGGTGTCAGAGTCGCGACGGCACATCCCCTCACCTCAAATCACCTCATCGCCTCTCTCCTTGTAAAGATGAACGACAACCTCACAGTCAGACTTCGTTCTGAAGTCAGTCTTGTCCTTCAACAGGGGCTTCAGCTTCTCGTGGTTGTAGATTTCTCCGTTGATCGCCAGCGCCGCGGACCTATCGTGGGAGAACAGGGGCTGGTTTCCTGACAGCGTGTGCAGACGTTGGTGGTCACCTACCCTTGCCTCCTTCCTCTCCTGTAGATCCTGTTTTCAGAGCCACCCAAAACCATGCAAGAATCAAAAACTATCACAGAGAGGAAGGGTTCTACTCCGAGACTACTACTACTGCTACGTTATCGACTTTACCATCCAGCTTTCCTTCTCTGCCTTGTCGTTCATACCTGTGGATCGTCCATCGCTCCAACAATAGCCAGACGCTCATGGCCGAGAGCAGATATTCTTGATCCCGGCACATCTTTCTGTGCAAAGATCCGGTTCATACCATCACACTGCAGCATCAAAATACCAACCTCAAGAGGGATCATGTGGATTCCAGAGCCGTCAGGTCCTCTGTGGCGGATCGTACGGGAAAGCTGAAGAATCTTCATCCTCAAAGTGTTGTGATCCAAGGTAGAACTAGAGGACAAGAAAGCTGTCATGGGCAAACCATCAAACAGCAGGATTCATACCCGTACACCCCCAAGAACCCGCAACCTCCCTTGAGATGCATCGCAGGCGTGCACTGGATGCCGCTTCGAAGCTGTAAGTCGAGCATTCAGCAAACAGAAAGAAGAGACTTTTGCTCACTACCGGTGACGCCCATCTGTCCGATATGGACACGGATGGCGAGGCCAAGCTAACCACCAACAAGGCCACAATAGCCCTCATCTGTCGCAAGCAACATGTCAAGATGGCAAGCAAGACCAACAAAGAGCAGCAGCTTCATTTTGTACATCTGTCATGCCACAGAAGGAAGCTTTGCTAAGGATCAAAACAGAGTGGATTGACAGAGGAACAGCTGAGTTCGGTTCTTCGTATGTTCTCCTTCGCAGCCCCGATCGTGTGATTGATGGATAACGAGGAGATGTCATGGTATCCTCAAAGGCGCCCAATGCTCTCGAAATTTACGAAAAATACTAATGCGTGTGGCACACATACAAATTCCTGCTCACAAGGATTGCAACTAACGGTCGTGTTCAAGACAGATACTATTACAAGAAAACCGTTGTTACTTCTTCACGATGGCAAACAACATTATCTCTTATGACTTGCAGCCCATGACTTCTTCCCTGCTTGCTTTGGGAGTGTAGATGCTCCTGCCCTCAACCTGACCTGTCTTCCTTCCTGCCTCTCCCTTCCTTCCCTTCATTTTCTTCCTTCGCCATCACGCGGCCGGGCATCAAAAAAAAAGCCTGCAGACCCCAGGGATGGGGGTAGGTGTCGTGGGTGGGTACTCAGTTTCAGAAGGGGTGGGGGTGGGGCAAGTGATTACTTGATTCTTGGTGGGTGGTTTCGGTGACAATCTGAAGGTGGGGTGGTATTGAAACCTGGGGGTAGGGTGATGCGAAAAAAGGGTGGGGTCCCACAGGCACTATCCTACAGGGTTGGGGGTTGGTCGGGGTAATTTGGGGGGCATGTGATGGTAGCTCCAATGACCCCTACTTGACAGTCAGTTTGTGCTACAAAGGTAGGGGTAGGTTATCATCCCACCCCCTTTCCCCCAGTAACTTCTGTTCCCCGAGTTGAAATTGGCTCAGCCTCACAACCCTACCCCCTCCACCCCAAATTAACCCCTACCGTAATCATTTCGGACACCACCCGTAGTATATATTACTACCCCTCCTGATAAACACGGAAGGTACACTCGCACCCCTTCTTCGGAGGTTCTTTTGTCTATTTTAATACCACACTGACTCACTAGTACCCACCCCCCAGCATTATCTACCCTTTCCATACTGGACCCCCCACCCCTATTCGAGATCTACGACCCCTTCAATCGTTTTATGTATCAAATCATCCCCCTCATACACTACAATCATCCCCCTCATTCCCAGGCTCATCTACAACGCGAGCGACTACCTGAGAGGCTACTAGCAGCGAGGACTAGCGACAGCTTGGAACAACCGGTGCAACACGATAGAGGTATAGCAGGAGGAGGAGGAGGAGGAGGAGGAGGAGGAGGAGGAGGAGGAGGCATTGCTGGAGGGAAAATCTTACAGGGTAAGGAGAACGAGCGCGATCCTGAACGGACTTTTACCGTCATGGATCAACTGCTCCTATCAGGTGCTTGTAAGTTCGTGCATAAGATGCTCGAAGCTCGGAGGTTTGCTTCCCTAACTTTGGACAAGCCTTGACCATAACAAGTTTTTGGAACCTGTCCTGCCTTATGAGCATCCCTGAGCCTTAGCTGATACAGTACATGACTGACCTCCACTGACAAGGAGAAAGATTCTTTATGTTCCTGGACGTTGGTCGTTCATCCCTCAATCTGATTCAAACTTTCAAGGCGCAATGGTCCATGGCCGACAGCTTCCTCGTCATGGATTGTCAGCAGATCCAGTTTCCAGTTCATTTCCGTCAGGTTAAAACCAACCATCACCGACCTAGGAGGCGGAGAGATGTCCTCCGTAGCGCACTTTCATTGAGTGTGGTGCTTTTGGTATTTGTAAAGGATGAAGTCGGCATTGCTTCGTAAAATGCTCTACTTCCCATGCCATTGCTTCTACCCCTCCTTCCCCACTTCTTTCTCCTCCGCGAGCAAGAACAAGTACGGAAGTCTTCATTGTCCATTCCATAGCTCACAAGGGAATCCCCCTCCCCCCCGTTCCTCGTCCTCCTCCCCCCTCATTGACCCCCGCGCTCCCAGCATCGGGGAGTTAATTGACTAAAACTCGTAGCGTACGAGAAGACGCATCGGCGACAGAGCACGAGGGGAGACGAGAGGGGAGGGAGGGAGAGGAGGGAGGGAAGTGAAGGGAGGAAGGCGGAGAGAGGAGAGATGAGAGAGGGAGGAGGGGAGGGAGAGTAGGAAGGGAGGAGAGGAAGGAAGAAAAATGGAGTCGAATGGAGGCCAAGGCGGTGAAGGAGGGGAGGAACGAGGGAAACGGTTCTATTTTTGTGACGGAGGAAGCGGAAGTGGTTGGGATGTACGGAGAGGAGAAGAGGAGTCTATGAAGCAATGTTGATGAAAAAGAAAGAAGCGGAATTTGTTGGGGATGAGGACGGGGTGGAGACATCGGGATAATGACGGGTACATGATCACAGGGTCGCCGACCAAAGGCCACGGTGAAAGTGGTTTACAGGCCAGCCTTATACTTGTTCCTCCTGTCTCATACTTGCATTCTTGGTTGCAATATGAAGTCGTCGGCTCAGTTGTCTCGATTGGCCGAAAGCAGTATAGGGATCACGGAGTACATCTCTGAAACGCCGGGAATCAAGGGCTCGATGAAGTACCGGTTCTCCGACTTTATCGTGCGAGAGGTCGCCATGGACAAGACGGTCGTGTGCTTGACGGATATGTCGGGCAAGCTGGAAGGAGCGCCGGCGCAGGAGGTGGCAGAGGAAGGAGTTGATGGGTTCGAAAAGCTGGAATCTTTGGTCGGTAAGGAGGTGGCAGCCCGTGTAAAGACCTTGGTAGAGCAAGATGAGGTGGACGGAGCAGCTGAGATTGTCCTGGAGGCAGACGCTGACAAGGCCCATCGGACGGCCGTGCATACTTGTATCAAACAGCACTTTCCTAAGCTGACCACAGACACCGTCAAGGTTGGGAGTGACCAGAAAACTGCCGTGCGGATTTTTTCCAAGGTTGACAACTCGAAAGGAAGGCCTAACAAGCGACAGCGGAGAGAGGCAATCTTTCAGGGCGCCAAGCGTGATGCCAAATTCATCAAATTTGTGCTGTACAAAGAGAACCTGGACACGATGGCTGCTGTGTCGATCATTTCGAAGATGGTGAAGACGAAAGGCGGTACCTTCTCGTATGCTGGCACCAAGGACAGGCGAGCTTGCACCACACAGCTTGTGTCTGCGCATCGAGTTGACCCTTTCGTGCTGACGGACCTCAACAAGAGACTCCGAAACATCTGCATTGGAAATCTTTCTGTCTGTGAACAAACTCTTAAGCTTGGTCAGCTGTACGGGAATCGATTCCAGATCATTCTCCGCGATGTTCAAGCCAGTGAAGGCTCAATAGAAGCGCTCTGCAATTCTCTTAAGGAAAAAGGCTTCATCAACTACTTTGGGAAGCAAAGGTTTGGGACAAGTTCTATCCCCACATACTCGATTGGAAGGGAGATCTTGCATGAGGACTGGGAAAAAGCTGCTGACTTGATCCTGTGCCCACGAGACGGGGAGAAAGAAGAGTCAAAGACAGCAAGAGAGAAGTTCAAGGAACATAAGGATCCCGCAAAGGCCCTCGAAGAATTCCCCAGGTGGATGTTTGCTGAGAGGACGTTGTTGGACGTGTACAAGAAGCGAGGGATGAACTCTCATCTCAACGCTCTCCAGGCTCTGCCAAGAAACCTGCGATTGATGTACATTCACTCTTACCAGAGCTACATCTGGAACAAGATGGTCAGCGAGAGGCTCCGGATGTACGGCAAGGACAGGCCAGTGGAAGGCGATCTCGTGCTGGAGAGCAAAGACGTGGAAAGCGAGAGCTTGTTCGACTTGGAGGGGGTGGACGAGTCGACTCTGAGCGGTGCGAATGCCTCGGAGGAGCAGGAGAGCGATCATGACAAATGGACCAAGAGTCATCCCAAGAAGGTGCGACGACGGCTCGACTTAGCGACGACAGACTAATGTCTGCCCAGGTCAAGGTACTTGCAGCGAGCGATGTGGACAAATACTCCATCTTCGACGTCGTGCTGCCCCTCCCCGGGGTATCGATCTCGTACCCTACGAACGAGATAGGCAAGAAGGTCGACAAACGGCTCTCGGCCGCCCCCTCTGCCTCTGACGCCTCCCCTTGCAGTACGAAGAAGCCCTCAAGGCCGATGGCCTGGACATCAACAATCTCGCCAACAAGAACAAGGAGTTCACACTCAGCGGAGACTACAGAAAGATTCTGTCGCAGGCGGAAGATTTCAGCTGGGAAACTGTGAGGACGGAGTTTGCGCTCTGCGCAACTGACACTCCAGCAGATTGACTACAAGAACCCCAAGGGCGACCTGCAGGCGACGGACCTGGAGAAAATTAAGGTAAGGAAGCTGGCATCGTAGCTCCTGCTCAGGCTGTTCAGGGGTCCTCAGACGAAGACGTCAGGAGAGCAGCAGACAAGGAGGCAGCAGCAGACGCCAAGGCTCGCAGGGCCTTGAAGCTTTCCTTCACTCTCCGGTCCAGCACGTGAGTTGCAGCCCCTCGCTCCCAACCTACTTGAGCTGACGTGCTGCAGGTATGCGACCATGTGCGTCCGAGAGCTGCTAAAGGAATACGTGGAAGAGGTGAGAGAGGGACGATACGTCCAGGGTTGACAAGAGTGCAGGCAGCATGCGGGTTAAGCTTCGAGGAGAAACCCGGCGAGAGCGAGTAAGAGCATGAGAGTGGCAGGGAAAAGGGGCAAGGAGCGGAGTACGGTGAAGTTGAGGAGAGAGGAGGTGGAAAGAGTACAGCGGAAGGGAGGAGAAGATCAGAGGACGAGGGTAGTATCAAAGTGTAAGAGATTGAGATTAACGAGATCTATTGCTGAGTGTTCCATTCACAACCCCTCGCGTTCATCCGTCCGAAGATACGGTCAACTTTGCTACGACGTTCACTCGTTCCACCACTCGTTGACCTTCTTGCCCTGGTACCTGAAACACAAGTCAAGCGACAAACCCCCCGAGCGAGGGCTTACAAGATGGAGGCTACTCCCAACGTCGCTACGAGCCCTGGCAAGGCAAGTCAGACCATGACAACTCTTGCTCGCCCCCACCAGCAGGCATGAACTTCTGAGTCTGGATCGCGCGGTGTCCCATCCCCGTAGCCTGTTGGCAGGTGTCAGGAGGAGCTGTGGGGCAGCCATGGCGCTACCAGTGCGAGAGAAGAAGCCAACGCCAGGAGGTGCCCAGACTCTGCATCTCTCAACTTCAGCGAGAACGTTTGCGGTGCTCCCACTCACTGTTCTGTCCTGATTGGATGAGCAGCCCAGAGCCTGAGGAGGAGATGAGATCTGCATGACTCAAAACCGCCGCACTCACCGAGGAAGAGCGCTCCCACCGCAGAGCCCGCGATCAACGAGGCCTTGCTTCCCTTCTCTGCGTTCACAGTCAGCTCATGGCGAACATAGACTGAGCTGCATATGTCACACATGCCGCATGACAGCAGCAGAGAGCGCATGAGAGCACAGAAAAGGAGGAGGAGCATCGGGAGCAGGAGCAGCAGGAGCAGCAGCAGCAGCAGCATCGGGAGCAGCAAGAGAGGGAGCAAGAGCAGGAATAGGAGCCTGAAGAGAAGGAGAAGGAGGAGAAGGAGAAGGAGGAGGAGAGGGAGAGGAAGAAGGGATAGGGATAGAGGGAGAGGGAGAGGGAGGAGAGGGAGAGGGAGGGGGAGGGGGAGGGAGAGGGAGAGGGGGAGTGGGAGTGGGAAGAGCCATTGAATGTTCTTACTCGTCCACGCATAGATTCCTCCGGCCGTCAAGACCGCCGCCATGGTGAAGCTCATATGCGCTGATCCTCCCATTCGATAGCACAAAGGACTACCCCCACCCCCTCCTTACCCATAAGAAAGCATACCCCATAGGTTGCTCTCTCTTTACGGTGGAGTACCCCACCCCCTGCTACAGGGCCCAAGAACCGCCTGCTACCGCCCACTGGCCCCTCCTGTTGTGGTCCGGGCCAAGGCAAGAGGGGTAGGAGAGGGAGGAAGATGAGAGAGGAGGAGAGAAGAGAACGAGAGTTGTGTCAGAGGATCGCAAGGCGAGCAAGGGAGCAGGGTCAAGATCGAGCGCAGGGAGAAGAAGCGAGGCGATTGAAAGGCAAGCTCGCATGCTTGATTGCCCCCCAGCAAGAGATTGATAAGACCATGGAGGAAGGAAGAAGCCAAGGCCATCAACTAGATCTTGAATCGAAGATGTGAACAAGTCGGGCCATATGAAGCTCTATGGGTGTTCGTTGCAAGCATTGCTTTGCTTGGCCATCCTGCAGCTTTCGTACCCCTGGGATATTCAAGTCGCAAACAGCATTGAGCCCTCCGACAAGAGAATCCTTTCATGTCTAGCGACAAGGCTGAGAGGAGGACGAAATTCTTCCCTCCCTACTCTGATCGACATCAAATTTGCTCCATTCTCCACGCACTTGAACCGTCCTCCTCCTCGATCATCACCACCGCCGCCTCCTCCTCCTGCTCTTCATCCCGCTCCTCCCTCCCTCCCTCCTCCTCCTCCTCCTCCTAACACGAACTCATTGGGTTTCCTACATGTAGGAGAGCTCATCCCGCTCATCTCCTTCAAGAGTGGAAGCATGATGCACACGCAGGCTGTTCTCAGCTTTGCTCAGCAGGGACTTATCTGGCAAGTTTTCCTCCCGCCGTCCAGCTCAGGCGCAGCTGAAGGCTCGAGAGCCACCCGGCACTGTATCCTCCACAGCTCCTATGATTCCATCACCTCCTTCGATCTTCAGTTCGAGAGGATGCTTTCTCAGCGCGAGCGCTTTCCTCTCGTCCGCATGAGCGTCGAGCTCAAGGTGCCGCCTAGAATGATGGCATGTGAAGCTGCAGGTGGCAGGAGGGTGAGCCAGCCCGGTCGGCTCATCGTCACGTGGATGAAGCTTGAGGACGCGAGCATCCTTGAGCAAAAGCTGTGCAGGATACAAGAGGAGCAGGAGAAGCAGCTAGGGAGGTCGGTGACCATGGTGCTGCCTGCGTGGGTACAGGTGAGGCACTACTTACGCCTCCTCCTCCTCCTCCTCCTCCTCCTCCTCCTCCTTCTAGTCCTTGGTTGATGGGACTGACGAAGCCTCTACAGCTCCTGCACAACTTCCTTCCCACGTGTTTGTACAGTCCTTCCTTGCGCAAGGGGTTAGAGACAGTGGTTGTTGCGTGGATGTCGATCTCGGGCCTCTGGGCCTGCTGGCAGCTCTACCAGCATGTCGAGCTCTTCGGAGCCGCTCTGAGGCCCTTCGTGAAGGTCCTTCGGATGCGGTTCGAGTGGATCATGCAGAAGATCAACAAGACGTTCCAGACCTGGACTGACAAGTACATCCACTGGCTCAAGCCCCTTGACGTCATCCGGGACCGTCTCTTCTCCTCTGGGGCCATGAGCAGCCTCCTGGTGCGTGCTCTTCATATCCTGCATGCTTCCTGACTTGTCCATGCCAGGCCCATGAGATCTCGAGGATCTACGGGGTTGTCGCCAGCACAGCGGAGCCTCTCCTCTCCTCCGTGCAGGCCGGCATGCAGATGTTGTTGGCGTCAGTGGCCGCAAGCACGGCCTCGCTCTCTGCTGCAATCTCGCCCTATACCTCGAGCATGTACCTGCCTGGCATAGGAGCTGTGCAGAAGAATCTAGCAAGCAAGACTTCTCTCCGAGCAGCCAACAGCATCTCCTCATACTACAGGAGCTACTCCAAGAGCTTCCAAGAAGGAGCCAAGACCCTCCTGCATCTTCTCTCGTCGAGGAAGGTGTTCTCCCCCACTCCCTCCTCCCTCCTCTTAACCTCACTCCCCCTGCTCCCTGCCGTATCGAGTGCAGTACTTGACAAGATGGGCAGGCGAGCCTTGGACAAGAAAGTCTTGCTCGTGTCGGCACCTTGTACTTCCGCATGCTCGTCCAAACATGCAGAAACCTCTGGCGGCGTCTGCCATGGTCTTCCAACGAGCAGCTCCTTGCCCCCAAACCTCCTGCAGCCACGGCTCCTCTATTAGCGGTAAACGGCAGCATCGTCGATGGGGACTTGATGGAGTTGTGCTCCGACCGGAGCAGCATGAGCCCCAGGAGGTCGTGCAAGAGGAGCATTTCATCGCCCGACATGTCTCCCAGGCGATCCAGGTCGATCAGTCATGGAGAGCTGCAGGTTGAGGAGAGGCTGTGAATACCATCTTATGTCAAATGAACGTCACCAATATCAATGGCTCGTTTGATTCGTCTCTTCATTTCCGTTCAACAAGAAACCCAACAGCTCCATAGTAGTTTCCCGCTGTGCTTCTAAGAGAACTCCGTGGTCTCCAACCACTCGAAGCAAAGTTGTCGCTGCCAGCAGCCGTCAGGCGGTTAATTGGCTGCTCGCATGCTCACCTGCTCCTCGCTCCATGTGCTCTTCGCGGACCGGGAGATGGAGGGTACCACCCCTCCTAACGCTCGAATGCTATCGGCCCCCTCCTCTCCGGTGCACGGCTTGATCAGGTCCTTGAGCATCGCTGCAGCAGCATGTCAGCATGGAACGAGGCTCTGAGTTCCATCACCCCGCTGCTTCTTCTCCGCCATCATCTTGCCAAGGAGCGTCTCCTGTGGGGACGTAGAGCACATCAGCCATAGTAGAGTTCTGCCAGCAAGGAGATAACCTGAACGTAGTCAAGGTCCGCTGGGTTGATTCCGGGCAGCCGCAGGAGCTGCTGGCGCACGAGAGGAGTGATGGTGACGAGATTCATGTAGATGTCTCTGAGAAGATGCAGCAGCGCAGCCTCTGAAGCGATGGACTGCTAGCGAATGAGGAGGATGAAACAAGGTCACGACCGTCTCCTCTCACCTCCAAGGGGTTCGATTTCGACGTCAGTGCGAGCAGCACGATACCGAGAAGATCGCCAGCCAGCATCTGACGGGAGTTCAGGGAAGGAAGGGAACATCGCAGTCAAAGTCACTTGATGATAAGCCTCGTTCCCTCTGACGCGCGGGATGACCTTCTGAAGTGACAGCATGGCCCGAGAGGATGCAGTAGAGTCTGGCCAGATGAACGCGTTGCACATCAACTTGACAACAGTCAAGAGGGCAACTAGAACGGGAGAGTCCAGATGCACAGACCTGTACCAGCACCGGTCCAATGTCGGGGCAAGCCAAGACGAACTCGGTGAGCTCCTTCCCTTGCTGCGTCCCTGTGACGCCGCCCTGTCACGCACGTGTCATTATGGCAAGACCCCTCACCGGCCTTGCATCACCTTGTTCGGATTATCTCCTTCAGCTTGCGCAGTACCGTTCTTCACCTCCATTAGAGCTGCTGCTGCTGCTATTGCGGCTTGACCCTGCGCGTTCAGTGTCATCATGCTGAAATCTTCCGAGTGCAGAGCAGACCTGCCCTTCATCCACTAGTGACAGGACGAGCTCCCCGACCTGTAACAAGCAAATTCAGCCCCAGGGCTCCAAGTTTCCAAAGCTTTTCACACACTTCGCGGTGTAAGAGGCGAAGGATCTGATCAAAGATGATGTCATCCTTTTCTGTCCCCTGGCTTGCGCCTGCACTGCTTACTCCGCTATCCCTATCTTTCATGGTCTGAAGGTAAAGGTATGAGGGAGCACAAGCTCAACAACATAACCATACTTTGTATCCACCATCCAGTCGATTCAGCAGCAAGCTCAGAAACGAGGGTAGGAAGGGGCGGAGAATCCTCATGTACAAGGCGGAGGGGCAGTTACGAATAAGTGGCCCAACAAAGAGCCTTAGAATACTTCGCAGATGCCTATGCTCCATGGCGGGCGCGAGCCCCTGCAGCTCAAAAGTCAATCAAATCTGCAACGTCGGTGCGTATGAAGATGCGGAAATATGATCATTGTGCAAGCAGCAGTGATGATTTCAAACATGTTGGACCACTTACCAAGATATTTTCCAAGTAAGAAGGATTTGAATTGATAACAACGTAAAACCCATCACAGAATCCGGATATAATTCCGGCCAGTTGATAGGAACCGTCCCGAACGTGACGGATCCAAGTATAAACATCTGTTACCCGACTTTCCAAGCTGGATGGTCCCTTCTGCGTCTCAAGAGCAGCATTGCCTGCTTTTGCAAACGAGGGATCCACAGCCGCTTCGAATTCGACTGGTTTATATAGAACCTGATCAACCATGAGATCTGTGAGCAAGAAGAAAGAACATCAGAGACCTGCCATTCTTGGGACAAGCGGGTCCGCACATCAGGCGTCCAAAGGGTGTGGATACTCTTGATGAGTAGGCTTAGGTTGGGCAGTATGGAAGAGATATGGTTGCTGATCGAATAGAGAGACCCATTCTTTGTATTCGACGAATGGACTCCCGTGCCCATCCCTCCTCCCCCAGCCTGTACTCTTCTGCATATGCAGAGCAGAGTGATAAGCACCTGGTGGATCCGATGTCGCACCTGCCGGAGATTGTAGTAGGTTTCTTCCGAAGGAATAATCTCGCCAGCTATGCCACCTTGAACCCATGCGTGAGGATCGGACATGGCTTGTGTCAAGACCGGGTCATTCCATTCTGCGAGAGGTTGCATCATGATGCTGTCAAGGAACGCGGCCCTCTCGGCGTCGGACGGCAGAGGGTTTGAAAGGACGAAGAGCAGCTCATAAAGGTGCGAAGTTTCTTCTCCTGTCACTTGTCCACTTGAAAACAAACTCTGGACTTTGTTGTTGATCTGGTCCCTGTAAGGCAAAAGATGAGCAGACATGGCGTGCGCCAGTTTTACAATAGCTGCACTGAGCCGCCGCCGCATGGTGACCGTATCACTAAGATTCAAACTTGTCCTCAATGTATTGGATACAAAGGAGGATTCTGACGAGATTGGGAACAAATCATAGAAATTGAGCATTTTTGAAATGATCTCGGCGCCTAATCCACTGTCCCCGCCACGCATTCGCAAGAATGGAATCAAGACAACCAGACCCATTCTCACTATAGAAGCCATGACAATTTGTCCGTTGACATCTCTGGAAACCAAAATGCCCACAAGCATTCTGCAGGCCCCATTCACATCGTCATTTTCATTCTGAAAATTTGCCAGAGGAACTCCAAGAATTATGTTCTCGAGCACACTCTGAAGTGCTTCAATCCTAGAGTCGACCTTCTCATCCAAGGATTGGACCCCATTTAAAAGAAGCTCTTGGGTCTGCTGGAGGGCATTTTGCCACTGAGCTCCAATGAACATGATGCTATTCAATGGCATCAAATTAGCCAGCTTCCTCACGATTTCCAAAACTTTGGCCTTCACTTGACCCCAGAATTTGAAATACTCATCAAAATCCGAAAATTCTTCAACACCGCACAGATCTTCCCAGTCAGAACCAGGTTTGCAGGAGACTTTGTCTAAAATAGTCGCCATCAGGGCTTCGTGTATTTGAGGGGGAAGATTTACACCGGTTACAGCATTTTGACCATCCAAGTAATTACGCCAGAAGGGCGTCGTGATAGCTGTTATCGCAAGAGCATGATAGTTTGTGAATGATGCCATAAGGCTCAGATACCCCTCGACTATGGTTTGCTGTGAAGAGAAGGAAGTCCAAAAATTTAGGCCAAGTTCAGTCAAGGCAACGCAGAGTCCTTTGTGAAAATCGAACTCAGTCTGTTGCAACAAGCCGCCCTTGCAAAGTTCCAACAAGGAGCCAACGAGATTTGTTACAGCTTCATGAGGAACGTCTTTGCATTTTTTCGCACAAATTGCTTGCAAGACTCCCAAAGCTTCACCACGGAGATCAGGATTGGCCAGCAGTGCACAGATCGCTTGCAACAAACCACACTGGGCAAGAACCTGAAAAGATGAGAGTGGAGCATATGCTTCAAACATTTTCAATGCTGCGCTGACAAGACACTTTGCTTTTTGCTTCTCGAGATCAACTGAGGACTGAAACAGAAGAAATTTTTCCTCCAAGACTTGGAAGCAGAAGGCGAACAGGCTGGCGAATTCATTGTTCAAGGCGACAAGAAGTTCGTTCCGACGAGCATCGCTGAGCTGATCTTCGTCAAACATTCCCTGAAGAACAGAGGTAAGAGGATAGAAAACAACTTCTTCAGAACAAACACCAAGGATCAATTGGAAACGGTATTTGAAAACATATCGACCATATTCAAACCAAAAAAATGAGGGCAGGTTACGGTACCTCAGCAATTCCTCGGAGCACATGTAGAACCAGTTCACAGTGCGAATCTCCCGTCCGAGACAACGAAGTAAGTTCAGCAAACAGAGAAGGCCACTGATGCGGCCACTCCCGTTTGGCAATGAGCGCAACAATCTGTTGATGTTTCAAGTCAATGGATTCGTCTTAGATTTCAAAAAAGGGAAAAGAGAGGGCAAGACAACCTGCACAGCCTTTTCTTTCAAGAATCGAGGTTCTACCAACAAATCCGTATTCCATTTGGATATGATTTCTAGTGAAACAATCTTCAATTGTGCCCTGCTGCTTGGGTCCAACGTATTCCATCGTTTCGTGATCAAGTGTTCATAAAGCTGGAATCCAAAGTGTCTCACATGATGCGGCAAAGAAGCCGATACAAGCTGCGATGCAAGGCTGTACGCTCGAAGGTCGTCAGACTTCGCACTCTCGCAGATGTTGTGGGCGAATTGACGATCATTCTGATTGGATTTTGGATCGTGCAAAATCTGCAATACAATAGAGTCATCAACTACCAAATCACGGTTGAAAGGAGGAGATCTTATGAAATCGGATAGTACATGTACCTGAAGTGCATTCACGAACTCGATCAGCTCTGGCGACTGCTCCATGGTTTCGAAAGCACCCGTGTTGCACACAGTGTGTTTTTTTGTCTAATGTTGCAACTTTTGGCCAGGAAGAAACAATTCTATGATTGCTCGATCAAAGCCCTCAGGAAACAAACTATTGCCTCCACGCGGCAACGCTGAAGCTTCTCAATGACTGATTGTCACCAGCTGGGTAAGAGCAAGAAAGGGGCACAGATCGGAACGAACGCACGTATAGGGGGCTTGGCTCTGAGATTATGGGAGCGGTCAAGGAGCCAAGGAAACCGAAGGAGGAGGAGAAGGTGCGGATGAGGAGAGGGAGAGAGTAGGTACGAGAGCAAGGAGCATGACTAGTCGCAGCCCCTGCCAGCCTGCTGCTACTTGTGCATTGGAGAGCGCATGCCAAGGGATCCAATCGAGTGTAATCGGGGGTAGGGGGTAGAATGATAGGAGAGACTACCCGGTGTTATGAATATGAAAAGAGCGGGTGGTGGGGGATTATTGAGTCAACTTGGGTGGGGGTGAAGGGTGCGGGGTGGGTTTGAAAAAGATGCGACCCCCACCCCCCACCCGTACCAGTGATAACCACCCCACTACCCTTCTCTCTGTGGCTTCCTTACTTTTACCTACTACACTACCCCCAGAATTACTTCGCATCCACCCCTACCCACCCACCCTTCCTAATGCCTGGCTAGCTGTTGTACCCGGACTGGCCTAGTTCCGACAAATTTAGTTAGGACCTTGTCAGTTCGCATCGTCGGATCCATAGCCGCATGGGCCGGCGTCATCCTCTTCCAGGCGATCATGGGAAACTGGCGGCTACGTCGCATTTTCTGGGTCTCGGTGGTTCTGCGATGTGCCGGGGGGATTTTTGACATCCTCATCATGACAGCATCGCGCAAGATACCGCTGGATGTTGAGGAATGTGCCTTGCCAACAGCAGCAGTAGAGTCTCTATTACTGAGCAAAAGATGTCAATCACAAGTCGTGTCCATGATTTCAATAGCACTGATCGTCTGACGAGTGAGGGGCTCTGCCCTTCACGACAAGGACATTCTTGCTTCCTGTTGACATGCTGCTCTGGTTGTCTTGACTGGCGTAGCTCTCGAGGTCTTGGTCGAAGGAGGAGCGGAATTTAGAGTTCAAGTATCCATACCCCCTCACCTTGGAGTCAATGGGGCTGTATGAGGGTCTTAAAAAAGAAAAGTTTGTGGCTCTCGTTTCATCTAAGTTCCCGCCATTACAGACCTGCTATGGTTTCGCCAGACTAACATACTATAACATGCCGAGGAAGAGAAAACGAATTACAGATGATTCAGACAACGGTCAAGAAATAAGTTATTCAAAACCATTCACGAGAGTCGTCAAATGTGGGTTATACTCGAGACTCAAGGTAGAGAACAGATCGATTTTAGACGTGATCGACAGATGGGTATTACATATCAGTCAGATCACATTAAGAGGCAGTATGATATTCAACTGTTTTCTGATATGGGGCAGGGATACAGGGAATTTACGATATGTAGTAGATGAAATCAAGAGAGCCAAATCGACCTTTTTCTGGAATGTTTTTACACTTGGAATGGAACAACATAGCCGTACAGATAACAAGTATCCAACTCTACAACGTTTCTGGTCAGAGAAAAGACATCTTTTCGTTGATTTATGTAGAATTCGAGGAGACTCGCAAGCTATTGTATTCGCTGCAAATCAATATGGAACGAATTTCTACCAAGACCTGAAAGCAAATTTTACAAACCGATTGGAAAAGTTCATTGCCGAATTCTGCAAAGGAGAGTTACATATTAACCATCAGCAAGAAATCGAAGACGTGAAGAATGTATTGTTTCAAAGGAAAGATTACGAGTTGAAGACAGAAGTGTTTAACAGGAATAATTCACAGCAGATAGGAACCTTCATCGACCATATGAAACAACTAATTGGATTATCGGGGGACGAAGATCTTTTTAGTTTCAAATATGACAAATTTGATCATAGGTTGCAGAAAAATCTGTTTGAGATAATCGAGACACACATGTTCATGTTGAAGTTCTTCGAAGATCGTGGTCTCTCGAAAAAAACATTCAAGGCAGCACCAATGTCGAAATTCGGCAGAAAACATCTAACAATCGATAATGATGTGATGTATTACATTTTGAAAGAAGCGAACAGTTTGAAACCGGGAGAAGATTACAAATCGTTCATGAGAATAGATCAAACTTTGGATAACTCTAAGAATTTCAGAAGGATTTTCGACTGTTCGAATCTGTTCAGAGATCAGAGAGAGGAGATTACAAGTATCACGACAGACGGTGTATCGGTTTGTTTTCGATTCACGTTGATTATCAAAACAATCGATGGACTCGAACAGGAACCTTCATTGCGCACTACCAAATGGCTTGCCGATAGAAAAAGGGCTGAACGGAAATCGGCGAAGAAGATATCAATATCATACAAAGTATTACATGAAAATTCAGAATACCAAAGAGAGATCGAAGAATGTAAAAAATTGCCCAAGGGTAATTGCGATCGACCCTGGGAGGAGCGTCATTATATCGGCCGTCGAACAATTCAGAGATGATCAACAAATAATCAGAAAAAGATTTCAGTTTTCGAGAAAACAATATTATCACGAGTCACATCTGAATCGCAATAAAAAGAAAAGAAAGACGTGGGATCAAGATATTCAATCGACATTGCACTATCTCAAGGGGTTCTCGAGTAAGTCTGGCGGCAGTCTATCAAGATTCGAAGACTATCTTCTTGCAGTTACAAGTCATTGGGAGGAGTTAACTTCGCATTATTCAAAGCGAAAATACGCCAGGATGAAATTCGACATCTACATTTCGAAACGAAAGTCAGTCGACAGGTTTATCCGTACAATGAAAGGAAAGGGAGAAATAGAACCTGTTATCGCATATGGAAATGCAAGGTTCCCGTCTACAGGACGTCGAGGAGAAAGGCCTGTACCGGTCAGGTGGATAAGAAGAAGATTCGAGAATCACTACAGAGTCGTAGATGTTGACGAATACCGTACTACCAAGTGCTGTAACGATTGTGGTTCTGAGCTCGATGTGCTTCGACGGATTGAAAATACAGGGAAAGAACCAGACGAGACCTGTAGGTTGAAAACAAGGAAAAGTGAAGTACGAGGATTGAAATTTTGCAGATCATCGAGGTAATGTCAAGTTTTGTATACTCCTGTAATTCACCTTTTCATCTAACTGTTATCGTGACAGCTGTAAAGGAAAGCCGATCAAATCCAGGGACTTGAATGCTGCACTGAATATACTCACTTGTTTCAATGTGTTTCCTGAAAGACCGAATCACCTACGTCGCCCCTGAGGTGAATTCAATGATTGTTGTCGCCCCCTCCCTACCCAGACTGCGTCCCTCGGGACTCGATGCCTAATTCCCTGCCTGCCTGCCTGCCCGGTGCATGCCTCCATTATGATCCGATGTTTACGACATGTGATCATTGAAGTGACTGACTGGCATCATTTGGTAGGATTCATGTAAGGCTCCAACAACATCCGAAGACAATTTGGCAAAAAAAACAACTGCCGTTGTATGACGGAGAGTCGCGGCTCTCAATCATACGACGGCAGTTCTGTGCGAAAACTTAGTTCGTCGTCACATCATGTCACATCATGAGGGAGAGTACCCGTGGTAGATAGATTCGTGGCGTTTATCTATTAGGAATAGGCAATCGGGTTCAATAAAAGGAAATGGCAGGGGTGGGGTGAGGTACCCACCCCATCATTGATTGGTCTAGTGGGGGTATCGGAGGGTGCTCTTGTTAAGAGCGGGGGTCCTCAACTGCCGCAATGCGCGGGGTGGCGATGGTGTCGATAGGGATGCTGATTGCGATAGAGGTTGGAGGTTTCATGGCACTTGCTGCAGCCACTGCCAGTCATGCGTCCCCTCTGTTCCTCGCTCCACCTTCGTCACCTCCGTTCAAAGCTCATAATGGCTTCAATTTCCGGGAGAGAATGCTGAAACATCCGCTTTACAGCGCGTGCAAAACTGAGGGTGGAGAAGATTCTTCAAAGAGATTCCTGGGTTCGAGGAGGCTTGCACTGATTCGAAATGGCTTCAGAAAAGGGACCATGCCCCTGGACCCGCAGGTTCGTTTCCTGGGATCGAGAAGACTTGCCTTTATCATTCGAAACCTTTTGAAACCGCAGTACATCGACGCTGTCAGAGAGAATCAGACAGGGCGAATTGCGTTGGCATCGAAGGAATTTGAGGTTCAAATGGTCGAACTCAAGAAGGACACTGAAATTGAAGATCAGACATCTGTTCAGATACTTGAAGCACCCCCGGACATAGTGCGCTCCTTCTCATTGGGAGGGGAGCATAAGTTCCAGCAAGCAAGGGAAGAGATTTACAGCCTAGCTATTCCCGTGTTCCTGGAACAGATTTCAAAGCTTGAAGAGGTTTCTTCGTGCGATGAAGTGAAAGGGCCGCTAGACAACACAACATCCGAAGTCTATCTGGCATGGAGATGGGGCAGCAAGGATGTGTCAACCAAGATTGTCATATCTCATGATTTCCCTTCAGGATTTAGAGTTTCAACTTCAGACCATAAATTGCTTGCAGTGTCAGGGAGTTTCGTCTTCAGCCAGCAGCAGCATGGCTCATGTGCTTTGCGTTACAACTTGGACGTGGAGCACGAGGTGACCTTGCCTCTCAACGAGTCTGCAGTTGCAGCGGCCCTGAAGCGATCGTGTACGGAGATAGCGCAGAGGAGAACTAAGACTCAACAACCAGACGCCGAGCTCCAAGTCCAGCCTTCCGTCGAAGGATCGCGTTCTCCATCCAAACCATCACCACCGAAGAGCACGAAGCATGGCGCGCACCATGACTCAGAGGCCATGTCCGTCTCAAGATCTATGACTGTACATGCACCATCCACGATATGTTTTCAGATTGCTTCTGATGTACACAGCTATCCTGAGTATCACCTCTCCGTTGCCGTGCGAAGTGATTGATGCAAGTGACAGGTGGGTTCCTGCAGTCAAGAACGTCAAGGTTCTATCAACCCTGGACGAGGTGAAGATAGGTCTTTCATCCATGGCAATGAGAAGATAGCAGGGCAAGGCGTCTCAAGCCGAGCTCACTTTCTCGGCTCTTGGATACAGCCTGTCGTACATGGTGGACTACGATTTAGGGTGAGAGGACCCAGCAGTGCCAGTTGGCAAGGATGACCAGGGTCTGTAGCAACTCGCCGCACGCGTTCAGCTGGGACTCATTTGGGAACGGCCCGGGATCAATCGAGGTGGCCGTGTGACCTTGAGGTCTCTGTGCTGAAACAGTTGCAGGGCTCGTATGGCTTCGAGAGCCTGGGAGAGAACACGACGAAGATACACTACAAGCTGACCATTGACCCCGGGATGAAGGTTTGAAAGATTGCCAGAGGTTGAGGCATGGTGACATCTCGAAAGGTACCGCACTTTATCAAGAGCACATTGATGAATACGATTGCACACTCAGCCCTCCAGGTGGATATCTAGCACATGCATTTCATTCCTTGATCCATTGTGGATACTCAGGGGCTAGCGAATCGAATCAAAGACGTTGAAGGGTCCCCAGGTAACCCTCCTCCCTATTTCTTTTGTGCGAGCAGCTATCAGAGATGCTCTCCTAGATTTGCGCGTGTTCCCTGACAAGAGAACTTGTTGTACAGGGGGCAAAAAGTGGTTCTAGATGTATGAATGTAGCTTATCATTGTATCCTCATATTCTTTTTATACAGTTTATTCTTTCACCCGCGCTTTGTGTCATTGTAAGTCCCATGACCGGGAGATGTGATCTTTCGAGATCGTCTCAATGTTTCTTCTATTGCCAGAGAGAAAACAGCCTGAGAGATTGATGGAGGGTCGTGGCCTTGTCTTGGTCTCCCTGTCTGAGATGCGATGGTGTTTCATGTAAGGAAGGTCCCATCCCTCGACTAGAATGCCGATCAGATTCTTAAACAGGTTCGTCTCCTCGATGTCTCCTGCTGCTGACCCCTTCACATAAATTCCTGCGCCGTTACAACCATGCACCCTGCAGAACCATGTTAGACAAGACGACGACAGGAAGTTGTAGACAGAGAATGAAGGGATGTACCATGATTCATTGATTGTCAGTTTCGTCGCTTTACTCTTGCTTCCATTGACGAATATGCCGTAAGTTCCTGCTTTGATGTTGCATTGCCCGACTTCGCAGTGACTCCCGGCGGTTGCCAGCACGGAGATATACTTGCCATGCACAACTGAATTCAAGAGCTGATTCCCGCGGCCATAGAAAATGATCGAAGGAGACTTTTGGTACCTCTGTCTCTGGCTGGCCTGATGCACAAACATAGAGTCCCTGATCACCCCGTTTCCTTTGAACGATACACATGCGGTTTCAAAATCACAATTTTCGACTAGGCAGCTACTGTCTTCTGCAGACAAGATACCTCCATCTCCCTTGATATCACAATTTCGGATGATTGTGCCGTGATGTTGGCTGTGAAAGGAATATTCTACATTACTCGATTCAGCGGCTCCAGCATGACTGTTCCCAATGGTGACATTGTTGACCTCAATGTCGTTACCGAGTGTTTGTAGGTTCTCGAGGACGACACTCTTCCTGTTAAGACCAATGATAACTGTGTTGGCCTTTATTTTCCAGCTCCCTGAGTAGTAACCTGGGTGAAGTAGAAGTACACACTCTTGTTGACATCGAGTCATGGCATCCAAGAGCCCCTCGGTGCCTCCTCGGACTTCAACATATCGCCTTCCTTCAAATATATTCAACTTGAAATATTCCAAACATTGCCGTCTTGATGAAACGATCTCTCCTTCTCCTTCTCCTCCTCCCCCCCCCACTCGGCTTTCGCAATCCTCGGTCACCCACAGACTGCTGCTACGTCGTAGCCCGCACTCAAGGCATTTTCTCCTCCATAGCTCTTCCCCATCGCAAATCATCCTCATTCTTTGGCATGAACATGCAAAAAGGAGCACATCTACCATGTTGCACTGCTCCATCACCTTCCCCAGCGCGTCATCGTCGAGGACCTCGAACATGGCGTTAGCAAAATCCACACGGGGGTGTTCAAAGAGGCGTGTACGTTTCCTTAGAGGGTCTCTATAGTCAATACAAAATAGTTACTTACCATGTCTATAGTCAATTCAAAATTGAGCAGTGAGAGATGAGGGAAAAGTATAAGGGATAGAGAGGAGGAGGGGAGATGAAGACGAAGGAAGTGGAGGAGGAACAAGACAACCTAACCATTACCAAAAGTTGGGATGCTATCGGGAATATGAGCTCCTTGCACCGCGTGCATACATATATTTGATCGTTGTCGAACAACAATGCGATTGATCGTTTCTTCAAGGCAATGCAAGGCTGTTGATGTGTTTCATTTGTGATTGGGATACGACTTGTGCTGATTGAGGCAAACGGATTGATACGCAGGTAGAAATAGATGCTAAGAAACACAAGGTTGTTGCGATCCAATGGGGCTTCAAGGTCCTACTCAAACTATTTTGAAGGAATGAAATCATATGTATACTTTATTCTTGTGCGGATGGTTTGCGGACGAACACATAAATCACATCGACTGAGGATCTCTCTTGGATCTGAGGAGGTTGAGTTCATTTGACCCATCTCCCATATCAGCACTAAGCCCGGTTGTCGATGCCCAAGTTACCAGCCTGCTCCTCTCTTGTCTGGTGGCAAACCCCCAAGATCCCCCCCGTCCTGGTCCGGCGCTGCGGTGTAACTTCAGGTCAACTAACAGAATCAGAGGCGTAGATATTATTCTTGGTCTTTCTTGTAGGCTCAAATACGACGACCCTGGTACATCAGGTTGGTGGACGGGGTGGTGGTCGCCGCCCGTGCTGAAACTCATCATCAGTACGAGGACAATCAGGAGGACTCATGCAGTTTCAGGCGCATGTCCCTCTGACCCTGCCAGCAGCAGGAGCGGTGGGAGGTGGGGTAGGGGTAGCGGAATCTATCTTGTCGACCTCGAAAGGACCGAACACAGGGATACGGGGGTAGTGGACTGAAGTTGACAGAAGAAAAGGGGGTAGGGGGTGTTTGGTACTCCCCCCACTACACCTACTTACACGAAACGAAAACCCTCGGGCAACAAGATCCCCCTTCCTCGCACAGCGACTAACATGCTCTCTGCCGTCCGCGTCTTCCCCAGACGAAAAGCCCTCCATGGCGCCCTCCTCTTCTACAAGGGTAGCCGAGGCGTCAACCTCAAGCTCTCTACCATCCAAGCCCTCTTCCACCTCCCGCAGACTAAGGCTGCCGCCTCCCTGGTACCGATGCTGCCCTGTGTCTGACGAGGTAGCTCTGACTGGTCTACAGGGGCTGTCTCTGACGGCGTTCAAGAGCGCGCGCCGGCGGCTCGGCATCTCCCGATGGCCGTACGAGCGGAAGGCGTCTGGCGACAAGAAGATCGCTGCTGCACAGCGGAAGCCACGGCGGGGACGGGACTCGGGGAGGACGGGGACGGGAGGGAGACAAGACGAAGACGTAGAGGACGGGACGGGGCCGCTGGATCCGGAGTGGATCGCATGGTACATGACGACGAGCGAGGACGGGGGGCTATCATGAGGAGGAGGAAGGGGGGGCAGAGAACAGATGCAAGTGGAAGGGAGGGTAGCCCCACATGCTGTCTAGAGAGAAATCTTATTTGTAACATTATGCAATCATAGCATGAGAAGAGCATTGTGTTGAATACCACGAGGAGACATTGGAACATACAAACTTCGAGTGTAACTTAGATCACCAGAACAAAAAGAAGGCTCGGCTTAGAAGGCAGACCGACTGCTAGTTGTTGGGGCCAAACCTTCATGCTCATATAAATCTTGAATGCATCTGTCGTCTGTCGTTAGCCGTCTTTCACGTTGACTAAGGATCTTCCACCTGAGGCTCTCGGGCCTCCGCACTCATACCTGGACCGGGCTGGTTCGGGATTCCACCATGACTCACTGACCCGCTCAACCAAAGATCTCGTCATGGTGCAAGCTATACCATTCATCACCTGCTCAAGGCCCTTTCTTCCCTTCACTGCAGGTACGGATGGTCCTCTTCATGCTGACGCTTTGCAGGTTCTACCAGGTACTGCAGATCACAATGGAGCCACACTGACAGCAGGGAGGGAGGGATGCGCTCAAGAGGAGGTGCATGGAGACCCCTGCGTTTCGCTGTTTGCGTGCTCGCCTGTTTCGGCAGCATCGAGCTCGGAGGTGTCTTTCCGCCCTTCTGCAGGAGACGTGCGCTACTACTTGTTCTCCAACTCTTTATCCTACTTGTTGTGTGTGCATTCACTCCTGTGGTTGGTGTAGGGGTTTGAGCTGCCTCCTCTCATGTCCATGTGTGCATCTGGGGCGGATTTGTCTAGCCTACTTGCAGGCTACCTCCAATGCTGTACTCATCTTGTGACTGTCAGCTTTCACATTTTCACTTATCTTTGACCGTCAGGTTTAAACGTTTGTAGGCGCATTAACGATGACCCTGGCATATAAAATACCCTTTCCCTGACTAGTAAAAATGCCATTTCCCACTGTTGGCTTTCGAGGATATATAACCTCTTGACTCTGAATAGACTTGCATGTGCAACCTCTCGGCGCTGGCGTGTCCGCCCAGAAGGATGAAGGGACTCCCCGGACGTTGCAGGGTCAGTGCGGCGTACTAAACTTGTGACCTCTTGCCATGCCGATCCCCAACACTGGCAAGTTCGCTGCCATCAGGCGCATTTCCCTCTGACCCTACCAGCAGGAGCGGTGGGAGATGGGGGACCTAACACACAGATAAGGGGGTAGTGGACTGAAGTTGACAGAAGAAAAGGGGGTAGGGGGTGTTTGGTACTCCCCCCAAAACTACTTATTAAACGAAACGAAAACCCTCGGGCAACAAGATCCCCCTTCCTCGCACAGCGACTAACATGCCCCCTGCCGTCCGCGTCTTCCCCAGACGAAAAGCCCTCCATGGCGCCCTCCTCTTCTACAAGGGTAGCCGAGGCGTCAACCTCAAGCTCTCTACCATCCAAGCCCTCTTCCACCTCCCGCAGACTAAGGCTGCCGCCTCCCTGGTACCGATGCTGCCCTGTGTCTGACGAGGTAGCTCTGACTGGTCTACAGGGGCTGTCTCTGACGGCGTTCAAGAGCGCGCGCCGGCGGCTCGGCATCTCCCGATGGCCGTACGAGCGGAAGGCGTCTGGCGACAAGAAGATCGCTGCTGCACAGCGGAAGCCACGGCGGGGACGGGACTCGGGGAGGACGGGGACGGGAGGGAGACAAGACGAAGACGTAGAGGACGGGACGGGGCCGCTGGATCCGGAGTGGATCGCATGGTACATGACGACGAGCGAGGACGGGGGGCTATCATGAGGAGGAGGAAGGCGGGGAAGGAGGAAGGGAAGGAGGATACGATGGTGTAGAGTAATGATGTTTGTAACATTATGCAATCATAGCATGAAGGAGTCGGCTGAATGAATAACGCAAACATTCTTCTCGCATAGAGGAGACAATGGAACGCTTGATTGCATCTCAGAGTTGTGCAGGATTCTTGAAAGCTTAATCTCAGAGAAAGCAGCAGCTGAAAACCATAAAAGCCGATCGACCCACGGACTAGGTTGCAATCTGGACACTGAAGTGAGGACTGGCTAGGCTATTACCATGAGCACGTCGCGATCCAGGATTGAACAAAGACGAATCTATCCCACCCTATCACGGCTGATTCTTGCATCAGGTAGGATGTACCTGTTAGCTGCATAATGATCGGCTTCCCCCCCCCTCCCCCCCCGCTCTTGATGCTCAATTAGATGTTGAACGCGTGTCGTCACTGGTGCCTACCTGTCGTAGAAGGAACTCTTGCCCAGGATACACTGCATGGTAGTAGGAAGTAGGTATTCTGCTCCGACCTTGAGTGACACAAGGAGCAGCGGAGAGGACAACCCATCGGTCTTGAAATTTAGTTCATGACAGAAACGGTCCCTTCGAATCCTTCGGCAGTTTCAACAAGTGAATCAGATTCCTAGATTATGTATGTCTCAGATTCCGAGATCCAAGTCCTAGATTAGCATATCATGTCTTTCGCATGCATTCTCACCATGGGCATCTATCAATCCCCAGACGAAAAGCCCTCCATGGCGCCCTCCTCTTCTAGAAGGGTAGCCGAGGAGTCAACCTCAAGCTCTCTACCATCCAAGCCCTCTTCCACCTCCCAGTGAACTTAGAGACATCTATCTTCTGCTTCTCTATCTTCTTCATCCTTACTTTACTCGTGACGTTGACAATCTCTGTGTTGTGTATACAACAGAATCAGATTCCTAGATTGTGTATGTCTCAGATTACCAGATCAAGTCCTAGATTAGCATATCATGTCTTTCGCATGCATGGGCATCTGTCAGTCTACATCTGTATCGATTCATTTGTAGCAATGTCAGGGTCTAAAGGGACACGAGTGCGTGCCCTACTCTACTTGGTAGAGCATTCTACTTGGTACCAATGTTTTACTCATCCACCAAGGAGCAAGCTCACCCGGTCGCATCTCTACGCGTCCTCGTGACTGATTTTCTTCAGTTAAAACCGCCGTGTAAAACAACCTTCCCCACTTTCCTTACATCCCCGCCCCTGCCATGCCCCCTGCCGTCCGCGTCTTCCCCAGACGAAAAGCCCTCCATGGCGCCCTCCTCTTCTACAAGGGTAGCCGAGGCGTCAACCTCAAGCTCTCTACCATCCAAGCCCTCTTCCACCTCCCGCAGACTAAGGCTGCCGCCTCCCTGGTACCGATGCTGCCCTGTGTCTGACGAGGTAGCTCTGACTGGTCTACAGGGGCTGTCTCTGACGGCGTTCAAGAGCGCGCGCCGGCGGCTCGGCATCTCCCGATGGCCGTACGAGCGGAAGGCGTCTGGCGACAAGAAGATCGCTGCTGCACAGCGGAAGCCACGGCGGGGAGGACGGGGGGCTATCATGAGGAGGAGGAAGGCGGGGAAGGAGGAAGGGAAGGAGGATACGATGGTGTAGAGTAATGATGTTTGTAACATTATGCAATCATAGCATGAAGGAGTCGGCTGAATGAATAACGCAAACATTCTTCTCGCATAGAGGAGACAATGGAACGCTTGATTGCATCTCAGAGTTGTGCAGGATTCTTGAAAGCTTAATCTCAGAGAAAGCAGCAGCTGAAAACCATAAAAGCCGATCGACCCACGGACTAGGTTGCAATCTGGACACTGAAGTGAGGACTGGCAAGGCTATTACCATGAGCACGTCGCGATCCAGGATTGAACAAAGACGAATCTATCCCACCCTATCATGGCTGATTCTTGCATCAGGTAGGATGTACCTGTTAGCTGCATAATGATCGGCTTCCCGCCCCCCCCCCCCCCCCGCTCATGATGCTCAATTAGACGTTGAACGTGTGTCGTCACTGGTGCCTACCTGTCGTAGAAGGAACTCTTGCCCAGGATACACTGCATGGTAGTAGGAAGTAGGTATTCTGCTCCGACCTTGAGTGACACAAGGAGCAGCGGAGAGGACAACCCATCGGTCTTGAAATTTAGTTCATGACAGAAACGGTCCCTTCGAATCCTTCGGCAGTTTCAACAAGTGAATCAGATTCCTAGATTATGTATGTCTCAGATTCCGAGATCAAGTCCTAGATTAGCATATCATGTCTTTCGCATGCATTCTCACCATGGGCATCTATCAATCCCCGGACGAAAAGCCCTTCATGGCGCCCTCCTCTTCTAGAAGGGTAGCCGAGGCGTCAACCTCAAGCTCTCTACCATCCAAGCCCTCTTCCACCTCCCAGTGAACTTAGAGACATCTATCTTCTGCTTCTCTATCTTCTTCATCCTTACTTTACTCGTGACGTTGACAATCTCTGTGTTGTGTATACAACAGAATCAGATTCCTAGATTGTGTATGTCTCAGATTCCGAGATCAAGTCCTAGATTAGCATATCATGTCTTTCGCATGCATGGGCATCTGTCAGTCTACATCTGTATCGATTCATTTGTAGCAATGTCAGGGTCTAAAGGGACACGAGTGCGTGCCCTACTCTACTTGGTAGAGCATTCTACTTGGTACCAAAGTTTTACTCATCCACCAAGGAGCAAGCTCACCCGGTCGCATCTCTACGCGTCCTCGTGACTGATTTTCTTGAGTTAAAACCGCCGTGTAAAACAACCTTCCCCCCACTTTCCTTACATCCCCGCCCCTGCCATGCCCCCTGCCGTCCGCGTCTTCCCCAGACGAAAAGCCCTCCATGGCGCCCTCCTCTTCTACAAGGGTAGCCGAGGCGTCAACCTCAAGCTCTCTACCATCCAAGCCCTCTTCCACCTCCCGCAGACTAAGGCTGCCGCCTCCCTGGTACCGATGCTGCCCTGTGTCTGACGAGGTAGCTCTGACTGGTCTACAGGGGCTGTCTCTGACGGCGTTCAAGAGCGCGCGCCGGCGGCTCGGCATCTCCCGATGGCCGTACGAGCGGAAGGCGTCTGGCGACAAGAAGATCGCTGCTGCACAGCGGAAGCCACGGCGGGGACGGGACTCGGGGAGGACGGGGACGGGAGGGAGACAAGACGAAGACGTAGAGGACGGGACGGGGCCGCTGGATCCAGAGTGGATCACATGGTACATGACGACGAGCGAGGACGGGGGGCTATCATGAGGAGGAGGAAGGCGGGGAAGGAGGAAGGGAAGGAGGATACGATGGTGTAGAGTAGTAATTGAGATGTTTGCAACATGCTTTCACTCACTCCTGTTTGGTCTCAAGCGATCAGTTGCTTTGTTTTTTGTTACATTCTTTGCGCATGGTCAAGCTTCTAGTACAAAAGTCTTGCTGGCAAAGATGAGTGGAGCCTGTGGCGACTGGTAGACCGAGGATCACGTCGCATCTTTGTCCTGATCGCTGTAGTCGCCCCTTCCCCCCCCTTGTCAGCAGGGATCGTAACCCTTCCCTTCATCACCCCTACCTCCCGCCCCGAATTCCACATCCAACGCACTACTCAGAGAGCTTGTGTCTGTTGGAAACGGTGAAGGGACCTCACGGAAAATATCTGTCAGCTGCCAGTTGCGACTCGAGTGGTTACATGATTATCCGGAACCTTGCGACCTCGGGATCCAGTCGCAATTTCTCCTACCCCTCCATCCTAGTGCTGTGAGAGGGGATGGTGGAGGAGGTAAATTTCGGAATTCTCCGAAGGGAGTGGAAACAGGGGAGAGAGGAGGGTGGTGGGAGGTGGGGTACGAAAATCTTGTTACCCGTGACTTGCCTTTACCTCTCAAAGAACCTACCCCTCCCCCCCCCCCCTCCCTGCACAGTGCGTGCCCTACTCTACTTGGATGTCTATCCCCTTGTAGTAGGGGTTTTGAGAAGTTTGCGTGGATTTCTGGGTAGGGGTGGTACCAAGAGACGAGACAAGACAGCTTCTGTACTCCCACTAGAACCTAGCACAGCAGTTGCTCCGCACTCCCTCGACATCCCCGCCCCTGCCATGCCCCCTGCCGTCCGCGTCTTCCCCAGACGAAAAGCCCTCCATGGCGCCCTCCTCTTCTACAAGGGTAGCCGAGGCGTCAACCTCAAGCTCTCTACCATCCAAGCCCTCTTCCACCTCCCGCAGACTGAGGCTGCCGCCTCCCTGGTACCGATGCTGCCCTGTGTCTGACGAGGTAGCTCTGACTGGTCTACAGGGGCTGTCTCTGACGGCGTTCAAGAGCGCGCGCCGGCGGCTCGGCATCTCCCGATGGCCGTACGAGCGGAAGGCGTCTGGCGACAAGAAGATCGCTGCTGCACAGCGGAAGCCACGGCGGGGACGGGACTCGGGGAGGACGGGGACGGGAGGGAGACAAGACGAAGACGTAGAGGACGGGACGGGGCCGCTGGATCCGGAGTGGATCGCATGGTACATGACGACGAGCGAGGACGGGGGGCTATCATGAGGAGGAGGAAGGCGGGGAAGGAGGAAGGGAAGGAGGATACAATGGTGTAGAGTAGTAATGATGTTTGTAACATTATGCAATCATAGCATGAAGGAGTCGGCTGAATGAATAACGCAAACATTCTTCTCGCATAGAGGAGACAATGGAACGCTTGATTGCATCTCAGAGTTGTGCAGGATTCTTGAAAGCTTAATCTCAGAGAAAGCAGCAGCTGAAAACCATAAAAGCCGATCGACCCACGGACTAGGTTGCAATCTGGACACTGAAGTGAGGACTGGCAAGGCTATTACCATGAGCACGTCGCGATCCAGGATTGAACAAAGACGAATCTATCCCACCCTATCACGGCTGATTCTTGCATCAGGTAGGATGTACCTGTTGGCTGCATAATGATCGGCTTCCCCCACCCCCCGCTCTTGATGCTCAATTAGATGTTGAACGCGTGTCGTCACTGGTGCCTACCTGTCGTAGAAGGAACTCTTGCCCAGGATACACTGCATGGTAGTAGGAAGTAGGTATTCTGCTCCGACCTTGAGTGACACAAGGAGCAGCTGAGAGGACAACCCATTGGTCTTGAAATTTAGTTCATGACAGAAACGGTCCCTTCGAATCCTTCGGCAGTTTCAACAAGTGAATCAGATTCCTAGATTGTGTATGTCTCAGATTCCGAGATCAAGTCCTAGATTAGCATATCATGTCTTTCGCATGCATGGGCATCTGTCAGTCTACATCTGCATCGATTCATTTGTAGCAATGTCAGGGTCTAAAGGGACACGAGTGCGTGCCCTACTCTACTTGGTAGAGCATTCTACTTGGTACCAAAGTTTTACTCATCCACCAAGGAGCAAGCTCACCCGGTCGCATCTCTACGCGTCCTCGTGACTGATTTTCTTCAGTTAAAACCGCCGTGTAAAACAACCTTCCCCCCACTTTCCTTACATCCCCGCCCCTGCCATGCCCCCTGCCGTCCGCGTCTTCCCCAGACGAAAAGCCCTCCATGGCGCCCTCCTCTTCTACAAGGGTAGCCGAGGCGTCAACCTCAAGCTCTCTACCATCCAAGCCCTCTTCCACCTCCCGCAGACTGAGGCTGCCGCCTCCCTGGTACCGATGCTGCCCTGTGTCTGACGAGGTAGCTCTGACTGGTCTACAGGGGCTGTCTCTGACGGCGTTCAAGAGCGCGCGCCGGCGGCTCGGCATCTCCCGATGGCCGTACGAGCGGAAGGCGTCTGGCGACAAGAAGATCGCTGCTGCACAGCGGAAGCCACGGCGGGGACGGGACTCGGGGAGGACGGGGACGGGAGGGAGACAAGACGAAGACGTAGAGGACGGGACGGGGCCGCTGGATCCGGAGTGGATCGCATGGTACATGACGACGAGCGAGGACGGGGGGCTATCATGAGGAGGAGGAAGGCGGGGAAGGAGGAAGGGAAGGAGGATACAATGGTGTAGAGTAGTAATGATGTTTGTAACATTATGCAATCATAGCATGAAGGAGTCGGCTGAATGAATAACGCAAACATTCTTCTCGCATAGAGGAGACAATGGAACGCTTGATTGCATCTCAGAGTTGTGCAGGATTCTTGAAAGCTTAATCTCAGAGAAAGCAGCAGCTGAAAACCATAAAAGCCGATCGACCCACGGACTAGGTTGCAATCTGGACACTGAAGTGAGGACTGGCAAGGCTATTACCATGAGCACGTCGCGATCCAGGATTGAACAAAGACGAATCTATCCCACCCTATCACGGCTGATTCTTGCATCAGGTAGGATGTACCTGTTGGCTGCATAATGATCGGCTTCCCCCACCCCCCGCTCTTGATGCTCAATTAGATGTTGAACGCGTGTCGTCACTGGTGCCTACCTGTCGTAGAAGGAACTCTTGCCCAGGATACACTGCATGGTAGTAGGAAGTAGGTATTCTGCTCCGACCTTGAGTGACACAAGGAGCAGCTGAGAGGACAACCCATTGGTCTTGAAATTTAGTTCATGACAGAAACGGTCCCTTCGAATCCTTCGGCAGTTTCAACAAGTGAATCAGATTCCTAGATTGTGTATGTCTCAGATTCCGAGATCAAGTCCTAGATTAGCATATCATGTCTTTCGCATGCATGGGCATCTGTCAGTCTACATCTGCATCGATTCATTTGTAGCAATGTCAGGGTCTAAAGGGACACGAGTGCGTGCCCTACTCTACTTGGTAGAGCATTCTACTTGGTACCAAAGTTTTACTCATCCACCAAGGAGCAAGCTCACCCGGTCGCATCTCTACGCGTCCTCGTGACTGATTTTCTTCAGTTAAAACCGCCGTGTAAAACAACCTTCCCCCCACTTTCCTTACATCCCCGCCCCTGCCATGCCCCCTGCCGTCCGCGTCTTCCCCAGACGAAAAGCCCTCCATGGCGCCCTCCTCTTCTACAAGGGTAGCCGAGGCGTCAACCTCAAGCTCTCTACCATCCAAGCCCTCTTCCACCTCCCGCAGACTGAGGCTGCCGCCTCCCTGGTACCGATGCTGCCCTGTGTCTGACGAGGTAGCTCTGACTGGTCTACAGGGGCTGTCTCTGACGGCGTTCAAGAGCGCGCGCCGGCGGCTCGGCATCTCCCGATGGCCGTACGAGCGGAAGGCGTCTGGCGACAAGAAGATCGCTGCTGCACAGCGGAAGCCACGGCGGGGACGGGACTCGGGGAGGACGGGGACGGGAGGGAGACAAGACGAAGACGTAGAGGACGGGACGGGGCCGCTGGATCCAGAGTGGATCACATGGTACATGACGACGAGCGAGGACGGGGGGCTATCATGAGGAGGAGGAAGGCGGGGAAGGAGGAAGGGAAGGAGGATACGATGGTGTAGAGTAGTAATTGAGATGTTTGCAACATGCTTTCACTCACTCCTGTTTGGTCTCAAGCGATCAGTTGCTTTGTTTTTTGTTACATTCTTTGCGCATGGTCAAGCTTCTAGTACAAAAGTCTTGCTGGCAAAGATGAGTGGAGCCTGTGGTGACTGGTAGACCGAGGATCACGTCGCATCTTTGTCCTGATCGCTGTAGTCGCCCCTTCCCCCCCCTTGTCAGCAGGGATCGTAACCCTTCCCTTCATCACCCCTACCTCCCGCCCCGAATTCCACATCCAACGCACTACTCAGAGAGCTTGTGTCTGTTGGAAACGGTGAAGGGAACTCACGGAAAATATCTGTCAGCTGCCAGTTGCGACTCGAGTGGTTACATGATTATCCGGAACCTTGCGACCTCGGGATCCAGTCGCAATTTCTCCTACCCCTCCATCCTAGTGCTGTGAGAGGGGATGGTGGAGGAGGTAAATTTCGGAATTCTCCGAAGGGAGTGGAAACAGGGGAGAGAGGAGGGTGG